ACAAACACTTAGGAAAAAACAGCAGAAAAGTTTTATATAAAACGTATTATAGTATTGGTCTCAAGTATAATATTAAGAATCTAAGTTTCTAAATACAGTAGCATTCGTAGTTACCTTTAATCTGGCTTCAATAATTTTAGTAAGTGTAAGGCAGTCTCCATGGAAACCAGTGCATCCAATGACAGTTCGTTCTGTTCTGAAAAACGTAAAATTTTGTTGCAATATTAGGCTTAGCATGAACTACAGCAATTTCTGATACAGCAGCTTATTATGAAAACACCAAATGTATTTTCAGTTTTTCTAGTGCTGTCAAAAACAGTTGTCTAAAATGTAGTAACAGATCTGTGGTGTATAAAAGGCACCTGCAACCTACATCTTGAAGAGGACTCAATAAATGCAGGACCACGCAGATGTCTTTCTTCAACTACTTCCTTCTTCAGCTCTCAGCAGGACTGACAAAAAGAAATTCTTCATTTCTTTATGCACTCCTGACTCCAGCTGTAGCAATTCAGTCTTACTAGAAGATCTGTTATACACTGGGGAGCCACAGATCCTATCACTCAGTCCAATTTTTACTCCATCAGACCAGAGGGCTGCATTAAGCTTGTACAATGGTTGCATGACATTTATGGTTTTGGTGGCTTCTCACAGCACAAACAGAAGTTACCTGGCTGCAGATGCACTACAGAAGCTTAGCTCTCTGCTCAGTTTTGAAATGTTTTATGAACACTAACCATGGGAACACACACTTGAAATTTTAATTGTAGGAAACAGAAAAGAGTCTAGAAATATTAATACACAGTGACCTACCCAAAGCAGTCATTCAGAAAATATCTTAAAACAAAATCTTCTCTCAGCCTGTCACTAGAATTACATAAAGCCATTGTGAGCAATATGTATACTGTACCAGACTAATCTCCATCTGGACAGTATCAGAGAATCAAATATGTAGTAATAACAAGTTAGCCAGGAGAAGCCAAGTTATTTTGACTTCATGTCATCAATCTAGAAAAATAAACAATAACCCACACAAAAAAAAAAAATATTTATGTAGTTGATGACAGCCTACAAGGCAAGCACCTGCTGCAGTAAAATGAACATAAATAACGTGTAGCTGTAAACCAAGAAGATGCTACCCAGGTGAGTCAAACTAAGCATAAAATGAGACTAGAAAGTTCAATTCTGGAACTACTAATAGGTTTACCTCCCCTAAAACAAACACCTCTCTAAGTGCCAGGTAGAGAGATACAGTACAACTGGCAGCAGTGGGCACACTTACATACCACCACCAGATCTCCTGATGAAGTAGAATGAGTTACCATATAATTAAGTTTTGCTATAGTTAAGTTAGGAATTCTTCTGATTATCCAGCCAAAAAACTCCATGTTTAAGTTTGTTTCATGCGAAAAATGTTCTGTTCTCACTTAGCTTCAAAAGCATGAAACAAGAAATCTGGCTATATTTACAACATCACATCACATCTTGCATTACAGCAAAGGTCACCACAACTCCAAAATCTACGGTGTTACTGTGCTTTTTCTTCTAAGAATTCTGCTTAAAGCAAGAGGCAGATGATATGGTCAGCAAAACAAAAGATTTTTCGTCTTTTTCAATCCTTGCAGATCTGGACTTACAGCTTGTAGCATTTTGGGCTGTCCCGGGAGTGAATTGAATAGCCTTCACTCAGACGCGTGTCAGAGGCAACGATACAAAAGTCTTCTCCAGCAATCGCCAGCACAGTCCTTAAAAAAAGAGTACGGGTAAATCATGGCCTTCAGCACAAGCATCTTCTCAAGTAACACAGAAACAAGCTAGATAGTAATTCTACACCCAGACTCATGTTCTGTCAAGTATCTTATTCTCCTTGCTATGTTTCCCACTATGCACATCCCTACTCAAGCCAAAAAGAAGAAGACACTAGACAGACTGAAGAAAATATATACATGTGGCCCTCTACTCTGATTTAAATTGTAAGGCAACTTGGTAAAACAGAGACTCTACACCAGGCAAGAACCAGACCAAATGGATGAGGTATTTTATATGCCTGATAAAACAAACAAAAATCCTTCTAAAACAAGCAAAGTACTGAGCAACTGTATCACTACACTTAAATAAACGTCACTTTTAAAATCTGGTGTTATTACTTGCCAACAACCAGTACTGTGATCACCACAGGTGTACTACCATTAAGTAACAAATTACTTAATTTAAAAAGCAGTAGTCATTATAAGAAAAAAAGCTTACCTGGCCAGATCATGCCACCAACTCAGGTGTGTTAAAACAGTGTTAAAACATCACTTGCCTTTAACAGTTTACAGCAACGTAGCATTCAACCCAGTAACACGTTTACCAGCAGCATGGTAAAAAGCAAAGGCCATAAACTAAAACACAAGAAATTCCACCTCAACATCAGAAAGAACTTCTTAACGTTGAGGGTGGCAGACCATTGGAATAGGCTGCCCAGGGAAGTCGTGCAGTCTCCCTCTCTGAAGACATTCAAAACCCACCCGGACACGTTCTGGTGTCACCTGCTCGAGGTGACCCTGCCTTATCAGGGGAGTTGGACTGGATGATCTCCAGAGCACCCATCCAGCCCTAACAACTCTGTTACAGGATTCCGTAACAGGACCATTACCTGGCTTTCCTAAGCCACTATAAAGAAACAACCCTGCGGGGAACAAAAGATGCGTACTTTAAGACCAGTCGAAGTTTAGGGAGCCCGAGCGTTCCAAAAGCCACACGGACAGGCAAGAACACCCCGAAAGGCTGCAAGGCCTCAAGGCAAGCCCAAGCCTAGCTCCTCCTTGTGCTGCCGCCCTCTCCCTACGAGGAGGAGACCGTGGGGGGAGGTAAACCCGCACTGGGCACCGAGGAGAAGCGGGAGTAAGGCGAGGCAGCGCCAACCCGGCGCGGCTCTCCGCTGGGCCCATGCCCGGGAGCGTGCCCGTCCCGCCCGCCGCCTCCCGCGCCGCTCACCCTCCGTTGAAGGTGTACGGCGAGAAGCGGTGGTGCTGCACGGGCGCCTCCAGCCCGTAGCCCGCCTCGGGCCGGGAGAGCCCGCGTCCCGCGGTGGGCAGCATCGCGGCCGCCGATCGCTGCTGTCTCACGGCGAAATGGCGGCACCGGAGGCGGAAGCGGAGCCGCCCTGGGCGGGGCGCGCAGCGCCGCCTCCTCTCGGTGCTCTGCCGGCCGGAGGGCGGCGGCGCCGCTGCGGAGCGGAGCCCGGCCCGTGCCGCCTGCGGCGCGGTGTGTGCCTGGGCCGGCAGCGCTTGGACGAGAGCCGTGCCCGCTCCTGGAAACACGCAGGCTGGTCGGGAGCACCAGTCGTGATTGGGCGGGTGGGCAGCAGCGTGGCTCCTGTTCTGTAGGGAGAGCGCCTTTGGAACCACCGTGAAGAGAGTGGGAATCAGAATCATCAGATGGCTGGAGTTGGAAAGGACGTCAAAGATCATCTATCCTGTCATGGGCAGGGACACCTTTCACTAGACCAAGCCGCTCAAAGATCCATCCTGCTTGAACACTTCCAGGGATGGGGCACCCACAACTTTCCTGGGCAACCTATGCCAGTACTGCACCACCCTCACAGCAAAGAACTGCCTCCTAATATGTAATCTAAACTCTCTCTCTTTCAGTTTGAGGCCATTCCCCCCTGTCCTACATGCTCTTGTGAAAAGTTCCTCTCCACCTTTGTAGTAGGTCACCCTGAAGCCTTCTCTTACCCAGGCTGAATAATCAAAATTATCTCAGCCTTTCCCTGTGCTTCATCCCTCTAAGCATCTTGGTGGCCCTCCTCTTGACTTGCTCCAACAGGTCCAGGTCTTTCTTGAGCTGGACACAGGACTCTAGATGGGGTCTCACCAGGTCCTCGAGGTGGGCCATGGGTTGTGGTGCCAGGCACCATGGCGCAACTGGAAACAAGTGGGAAGGGCTGGGATAGAAGCTCGAAGAGGTACTAGGGGAGAAGGACAGGGCGGGGACAGTGAGATGCAGGGGACACATGGTGCTCCTGAGGAAAAGTGTGTTGCCCTGCTCAGGAAGCACAGCTGTGGTGGCTGCAGTCTCCATGGGCACTGTGCAGACACAGCAGCAAGACCCGCAGGTGGCTGCACAGCAGTGTGGAACTCTGTACAGCTCCAGTGTGAGGAACCATAGCTCCTGTGAGGGCCTGGTGCACTGCCAGGGACCCCCACAGATCCACAGAATTTGGAAGGGACCACAAGGGGTCATCTGGAGCAACCTTTTTTGCTCAAGCACCTGACATACGGTTGTGTCCAGATGGTTCTTGAACATCTCCAGTGAGGGAGATTCCACAACCTCTCAGGACAATCTGCTCCAGTGCTTGGTCACCTGCACAGTGAAGAAGTTCTTCTTCATATGCAGGTGGAACTTCCTGTGCATCGGTATCTGCCCATTGCCTCTCGTCCTATTGCTTGGCACCACCAAGATGGGCCCAGATGAATCCTCTTCACACCCACCCTTTAAATATTTATTCACATTTATGAGGTCCCCTCTCAGTCGTGTCTTCTCAAGGCTGAACAGGTCCAGGTTCCTCCGCCTTTCTTCATAAGTGGATGCTCCAATCCTTTATCATCTCCGTAGTCCTCTGCTGCATCTGCTCCAGGAGCTCCATGTCTCTCCTGCCCTGAGGAGCCCAGAACAGGACACAGCACTCCAGACGCAGCCTCTCCAGGGCTGAGTAGAGGGGCAGGATCGACCTGCTGGCAATGCTCTTCCTAATGCACCCCAGGACAGCACTGGCCTTCTTGGCCACACGGCACTGCTGTCTCGGGGACAGCCTGTTTGCACCAGGAGCCCCAGGCCCTTCCCCACAGAGCTGCTTCCCCGCCGGCTGGCCCAGCCTGTGCTGGCGCCCGTGGTTACGCCTCTCCAGGTGCCTCTCCTGCCCTCGCCCTCGATAATTTCCGACGGTTCCTCCCTGCGAAGTCTTGTCCCGCCGGCGGCGGGAAGTGACGCGCCGGGCGCGCCGGTGGAGCGGGAGCGGGGGCGGGGCGCGGCCGGGCGCTGAGCGCGGCGGGAGCGGAGCGAGCCGCAGGTACCGAGTGCCCGCCCGGTACCGAGTGCCCGCCGCTCGCCCCTGCCCGCGGCCGGGCTGGTGGGGCGCGATGGTGTGGGGCAGGCCGGGCCTGGAGGGCGGGGACGATGCGCGGGCCGGGCTCGCTCCGCACCTCCGGGGCGGCCTGAGCCGCGGCCGGGGGAAGCGGAGGGGCTCCCGCGGCGCGGAGGCGGCGGCCGCCTTTCTCTCCCCGGCGCGGCTCGGGAGCGGGAGGCGGCCGAGGCGCCGGCCGCGGGATGGGCGCGGGCAGCGGCGGGGCCGGGGCCGGGGCCGGGTCGGGTGGGGAGCGAGGAGGGCTGGGGCGCGGGCAGGCTGTGGCCGCACGCCGAGCGCTGCTGCGTGGCTGGTGGCGAGCCCGAAAGGGCCCCCGGGGGTGGGTCGGGGCCTCCTCCGGGCTGTCTGCGGCTTCTGGACTCTGTTCCCTCGACCGAAACGTCGCCCGACGTTTGTAGTGGAGATCCGAGCAAGCCGCCTTTAGTGGGTAGAGGAGGGACTTCTGCGTAGACCGTGCCCTGGGTGCAGGTTTTTGTATGCCTGGTATCCAGCCTTTTTACTAAATAGCTGGGCTGTCGAGGAGTTGAGTTTGTTTCTTCCAGGATAATATTTAGGCCTCTAATGTTCCCACGTTGTAAAACCTGGGTGGTCTTCTTGATACCTTTGGTGATATCTTAAGGTCATGGGTGGAAAAAAGCAGACCTTTCTAGCTGCAGTGTAAATATTAATGTAGTTCTGAGTTCTCATATCTTAAAAAAAAGAGAGGCTGCATAGGCTGTCTTTGCATTTTGAGGTGGCCTACGTCTGGCCTGATGTATTTGATGACCTTGAGTATCTCTTAGCAATAGTTAAAAAACTTAAAAATTAATGGGATAATATTTTATATAATTGGTATAATAAAATTTAAATCATCCACTTCTGTTTATTTCCATAACAGAGCAACAGAAGTGTAGTTAGAAATGAAAGAAAACCATTGTATGTCTCACTTGCGTACTTGAAATTTGTTTTCACATATTTCTTTTTTCCTCACAAAATGTATGTCATTACAGTTTGAAATCTGTCAGTGCTTTGTTTTATGGAATTGGATGGAAGAGGTTTTCCTAGCTGTGATTTGAGCTGTGATGCTCTTCTCATAGAAGAAAAAAAGTCATTTTTGAAAGCACAAGCCTTAAAATAGCCAGGAAGAGACTACAAGCAATGTCAATTAGTAGCCAAGGGAATTAAATTCTAAAAAAATCAGTGCTTTTGCAGCTGAAGCGAAGCTTGGAGTAGAATGAGCATCAACAGCTTGAGCTGTTAGTGCAGGAAGGTTTGGTTAGATAGAGGCCTGCTCGTGTGAGTCAAGTGACCTGCCAGGGACTTCAGCAGAATCATACTGCAAAGTTTCTATGGAGTGTGCCTGAAAAAGGTTATTTTTATGGATTGTGCATGTGTGTGTGCGTGCGCGTGAATGTTCTTATATGTATTTGTACGTGGGTGTCTCTTATCTGAGTCAGCAGCTGATAGATTTGCTTTTGGGTTTGTGTTTAGATATTATTCTCAAGATATTACTTTTTTTTTCCAGGCTCAGGACAGTGTTGTAGATCCATATTTCTCTGAAGCTGATGTTTTCCTAATACTTTCAGCTTGGCTTTAAAAGCTACTTCGCTGGAATGTTTTAAACGGTTAAAAAACCTCTAGGATTTGAATTTTATTTAAATTAATTGAAGGAAATACTTCTGGCCTCACCAAAGAAATAACTGGAATCATGGATCAGAACAACAGTTTGCCACCCTACGCTCAAGGCTTAGCCTCCCCTCAGGTAAAAACGAATTATTTAAAATGTAACTGTGATCTGAATTTCCTTTATGAAAGTGCTTTCTCTTTCTTATATCTACCTTCACAATTTTTTTTTTGTTAACAGATCTGAAAAATTCTACTAGGTATCGAATAATACTAGTATAAAGCAGAATTTTGAAACCATTGATGTCTATATTCAGAAGTATAAGAAACACATGGTTTTTTATACACTGACTGTAAGAATATATGTGGGATTTCTTAATGGGGTTCCTCTTAAGTGGAAACATGACTGACAAGTTGGAAAGATTTAATTTAATTTAGGTGGTTGCTGCTTAAACTATGTACATAATGGATTATTGCTGGGCTATGAGTGCAGTGGGTACAGTGAGCACAGTTGGTGTTCAGGCAGTTTCAAGTTAAATTGTGGGTCAAAGTTGAGACACACTTGCAAGGTAGTGTGAGAAGCACATCATGTTCCCTAGATTCCTTTGGGTAGTACTTTATTCTGTAGAACAGCTGCATTTCTGAGGATTTTCTAATTTTAATGATTTACTACTATATGCTTCAGGTTTGATATGAGCAACTTGGCTAACATAGATTTATTTTTGACTCCTCCTGAAAACTTTGTCTCTTAAAAACAAAATGGAGTAATGGATCTGTGGCTTTTGTGTCTTGTTTTCTTCTGCAGGGTGCAATGACTCCAGGAATTCCAATTTTCAGCCCGATGATGCCATATGGCACAGGACTGACACCGCAGCCTGTCCAGAGCACCAACAGTCTGTCCATATTGGAGGAACAGCAGCGGCAGCAGCAGCAGCAGCAAGCAGCACAGCAATCCACGTCACAGCAAGCGACACAGGGAACATCTGGTCAAACCCCCCAGCTCTTCCATTCACAGACTCTTACCACAGCCCCTTTACCAGGAACCACACCTCTGTACTCCTCTCCAATGACTCCAATGACTCCCATAACTCCTGCAACACCAGCATCAGAGAGCTCTGGCATAGTGCCACAACTACAGTGAGTGCCCCATGTGTTAGTGCATCATGTCTTCTCTCAGACAGGCTTTTAAAGACTTAGGACCAAAGTCACATCGGGAATTAGGTACTGCATTTTGGTGGGAAGGGAGGTCCTGAGAACTTATGAGCCTCCTGTAGCAATATGAGTAATTTTTACTTTTATTTTTAGCTTAGCTTCATTACTAAACCACTTAGTAATATAAACAGTTTCTTAGTGATTTGTCAGTGGTCCATCTTTGGAGCATACCAATGGCAGGTTATATATGTCTTCATTTAACACCACTGTAATTTTTAACTTCTTGCACTTCAGGAGTTCAAGATGTTTCCTTTTCCAGTGCATGGCTAACAGTGAGTTTGTGAGAAGGTAGAAATTCCCAGAACTAGTTCTAAGTTCAGGTATGGAAGTATTTGCAGTGAACTTCAGTTTTAAAGAGACTACTTCAGAAATTCATGGAAGGGACGACGAGAAATGGATGATACCAAGAATTAAAAGAGTAGTTTCTCGTATTTTTCTTACTTTTTTTTTTCCCTCATTGAGGACCATTATATTTCAGGTTTTTCCCAGAAAATGAAATCTTTTATCTAGTAACTTTTAAAAACTTTCTGCAGACCTGCTATTCCATCACGTGGCAATGCATTTACCTCCTGGGTCATTCCCACTTAGTTTTGCACCCTCCTCCTTGAAGGGCATAGCAAGGAAAATTTCAGATGGTACTATCTCATTTTCTCCTGTTTCTAGCAGCTTTTGTGATTATGGTGAGGACTCTCAGCATCAGTAATTTTTCCTGCCAAACTGAAATAGAGATTCTTCTCATGGGATGCTTCTCATAATAGCTGACAGATAAGGAGGAATCAGCAATTATGCCTTAGGAGCTTCTGCCCTACAAAAGAGGTTCCTGAGCCAAAACATTGCTCAGTGCTCCTGTTAGTAGGAAAGATGCCATTCAAACTTGATTGGAGAAACAAAATAATAATAAAAAATAAAATTGATTAGGCTTGATTAAAAATGAAGAAGATGCATGAATTCCTCATTTTTTAAAATATATTTCTCTGATCTATCTTTAGGAATATTGTGTCCACAGTGAATCTTGGTTGCAAACTTGATCTAAAAACTATTGCACTTCGTGCCCGAAATGCTGAGTATAATCCCAAGGTAAGAGAAATGTATTAAGAGTTCATCCTATAACAGATGAATTAAAGGCACAGGTTGTGGCTGCAGGCTGCTGCAATAGACTGAAAAACCTACCTGCTATGTATGCAGTTTTATACTGTAGTTAAAAGGGAATTTTAATTAACTTAGGATGTTCAAATTAGTAAAAAGCATTTTTATGCTGAGGTAGCTGTGATGTGCACCAGGTTGTAAGTTGTTAGGTTTAGAAAAAAAGTAACCAACAGTGTAGTGTACTGGCTAAGCTTTTTGTGGTAGAGGTGGCCTCTGCTGCTGTTCATATGGGCATATTTGTTTGTAGTGTTCAGTGAGCTCTTTTTGCTTATTACTGTGAAACATCTGATGATGAAATCTTGTTCCGTATCTCCCAGCAAGGAGAAAGGAAAGAATTAAAATCTTGGTCTCCTGCTAGAGCTGTGGTTTCCTCCACCTAGCTGCCCCTCGAATTCTTACGGTCACAGGGCATTCGCTTATTTCTTTCATAGCCTCGCTTCCCTCTGTTCTCTCATGTTCTCCAGTACTTCTGCCATCTCATTGTTTCTGATGGCTGAGTTTGGTGGAACATTAAAATGAATAAAAACAAAATCAATTAAATTGATTTTTTTGCATACTGACTTCAAAGTTGCCTGCTGCTTCTTAATAGTAGTAGTGTTCTAAATAAGTGGTGTCTTTTTAGCTTGGGAAATCTGAACAACCGCAAAGGACCTGGAGCATTAAATAAAAAAAAAAAATAATGTTGCTTCATGTTTCTTTCGGGTGGCTCCTCTTGAAAATGTTGTCTTTGCAACAACAGTAGCTGGACACTTAATTAAGTTTAGATGTTGCATTGTTGAATTGGCTTGTCTTGGAAGGCTTCAGTTTTCCTGGGGTGTGTGTGTTTTTCTTGTTTTAGCATTTAATATTTTGCTGCAGTTGACCTGAACTCTGCTCTCAAAGGCTAAAGCACACATGCAGGCATATATGATAAATGACTTTTCTGGAAGTTTATACCAGTGATGCTGTTACATAATTGCCAGTAAAATATTAGCACAGCAAAAATTTGAGCATGCCTTGGTAACTCCTAATGTAGGGGGTAGATGGCTGTGTAAAACTTGTAGGCTAGAATAATCAATATGAAACACTTGTTTTCCATGGCAGAGGGATAGAAGGGTTATGTAACACACTCCTGACATTTAGTCAGTAGATACATCTATCAAAGAAAGCAGTTGCTTGGCTATATTATTTAAGTCATATTTTGACAAATGTACTGTTGGGTAGCCCACGCTACCGCCTTGGTTATGTCAGCAGAACAATTGTTGGGACTACAGGGTGAGCTGTTCCAAGTTAAATATAACAAAAAGGGGTTTTTCTGTGTGTGTGTGTGTGCCCACCTCTGTTTCCACTATCTCTTGCTTCAAGGAACTTAAGAATATTTGAAAATGTTTAATGAGAGTAAAAAGCTAGAGCTAATCAGGCTGCTGTGTCCTACAGTGGTAGCTGAGGTACTTCTGTTTACACAGGACTTTGATCTCCAGCTGTTCTGTTTGCTGGAAATGTAACACTGTCCATTTTTTTTTGGATAGTCTTCCATCCTCCATGTTGGAATTTTATAAGAGATAAAATTCCAACATATGGAAGAATTTTTTAAAATTTATTTTTAAAATTGTTTCTATTGCTCTGATGCAAATGTGTTATTTATATGTTGAATGTATAGTAATGAGAGATGAACAGGAACGCAGTGGTAAATACCCTTCCTGCCTGGCTGTACCTCTCAGTGGGTGTGCTCGAAGGTACTTATGGTTTGAGCGTGTCAAGTAAACTTTGAGTGATCTGTGTGTTTGACCTTAGTTTGCCTTGCACTGCAGTGTAACTTAGATGATGCAGGTTTGGTTTTAATGTAATGATGACAGCAGTATGTCACTAACAGTCTCAATGCTCACACTTCAGCGTTTTGCTGCTGTTATTATGAGAATAAGAGAACCACGTACTACTGCACTGATATTCAGCTCTGGAAAAATGGTGTGCACAGGAGCAAAAAGGTATGTTTAGGCATTATGAGGAAACTTATCTCAGGCTGTCTTTTCTCATGTACCATGATGCTTGTTTATATATACATATCAAAGCTATATGGGTACTACTAATCTTGCTTCACAGTAACCTCAGATTATACACAGATTTCTACAGAAAATGCCTGTTTATGATTGAAGGGACTTCCTAACTTAGGGGGAAATGGTAGTTCTATTTCTGAAGTGCTTTCATTCAGTCTGATAAACTGGTTTGCAGAGGTTATGATATTCATTTTTTGGCTTTGCAGTTACCTGCTTTTTCTAATAATTTTAAAAATTCAGCAACTATGCATTGGAACTGCTTGAACTGTAAGGATGGTGACAGAAGGATTTTGTATTTGAATAACCTCATCCATCACAACACGAGAGCTCCAAATCTCTGGTTCCTGTAGTCTGATCATGTAGTGATCATGTAGTTCTTAATGTGACCATTGAAGCACAAGAATTGAAAACTAAACATAAGCTGGTGGGCAGGAGAGAAATTCTGCTCTGAAGAAGTCTGGTAGGAATCCAAAAGGAATAAACTAATAAGCAGAGATGAATGAATAGATCTGTACAGGGAACCACTTTCTCTGCCTGGTGACACTTGAAATTCAAGTTGTCTTACTTTGCATTGGCAACAAACAGATTCTCAGCTGTTTACAAACCTGAAGCAAATGGAATTCTGCAACAGTGGGTAAGACTGTGCAGCTGTAATAAACCCATGTTTGAATGTCTGGGCTGAATCAAGCAGAAGATTTTGCCAGTTGACAGATTTTTATATAAATACGTATTTTCTAGCAATAGTAATTCAAGGTTGTTCTAAGATGAAAACTTAAGTAACAATGTCCCATTAGAGGGACTCCGGTCAATATTTTAAAAATGTAAAATGTATGGATTTATAATTTACAGTTTTATGTCTCATGAACAGTGAGTGCAATACTAATGCTGTCCAGAAGCCTATTACTAAAATTGGCATGAAAACCAGTCAGTGCTAGTTGTTAATTTTGGATGTAAAAGTTTTGCATGTGAACTCCCCTCTCCCTTCACACAGACTTTTTTCCTCAGTTAGGTATTTGTGGTTTAATGCTGTTTGCTTGAAGTAATACTTAACTGAGGCAGTAATATGAATATCTTTTTCTCACTTCAGTGAGGAGCAATCCAGACTGGCTGCAAGGAAGTATGCAAGAGTTGTTCAGAAACTAGGTTTTCCTGCAAAATTTTTGGATTTTAAAATTCAGAATATGGTGGGCAGCTGTGATGTGAAATTTCCCATCAGACTGGAAGGATTGGTACTCACACACCAGCAGTTCAGCAGGTAAAAAAAGGCATGCTTATGTTTCATTCTTGTTGCATACTATCTTAGAAGGTGACATCTGTTTAGATTATTCCCTTGCACCACAGGGAAACCTGCATCTTTGTTCCCATCTCTGCACTGCCTCAGGTGTAACTGAGGCTGCCCAATGTGAACCTGTCAAAATTATGTTCCCTGCTACACTCCCCAAGTTTCAGGAAAGTCTACATCTCTTCTGCCCAGTCCTAGACTGGGCCCAGAAGATAGGGTGGAAGATGGGTCTGCAAGCACATTTAAACACACTCTCTTCTCTTACAGCTACGAGCCGGAATTGTTTCCTGGCTTAATCTACAGAATGATTAAGCCAAGAATCGTTCTGCTTATTTTTGTTTCTGGAAAAGTGGTTTTAACTGGTAAGTGAAGACAGTATCTTACTCCAAGAGGTGAGATTTATACTGTATGACAGAGAACAGACAGGGATACGTAAGCTGCCAGGTACTTTTCCTTTAGAGGTGACAGTACTGAGAAAGGAGATTTAATAGAGTATTCCAGGGATGGCAATGTTAAGGAAACTTTCCTGTGCAGCCTAACAGCCACTCTGGCAGTCAGAGCCACACCAGCTGCAGCAGGACCAAAGCCTGTTTGCAATGGGCAGCTCCAGCAAAGCCAACAGGTGTCCTGCTTGACTCTACACACCTCACTCACACAGTCAGACCAGGTTTTCTTGAGGGCTCAGCACCAGGCTTTGTTATGCAAAGATTCAGCAGTTCAGGCCTTTTGCCTGGGTGTCCTTCACCTAAAGCTCAACCTGCAGCTCAGCACTGCCACTGCATACACAGCTACCTGCACTGTGTTCCTTAACAGATGGGAATGCACAAAGCAACAGCACATTTGGTTAGATCAAAGGAACAACCATAATGAAACACTAGTCAGGTATGCAGGTGCCCAAAAAGCTGTAAGAATGCTGGTGGATTTCTGGCACAATCTGAAAGACTGTTTCTGTGCTGAGCATGTGACTGAGCTAGCTTTTCTTTGGCAGCTTGGTTGCAGGCTGCTGCAATGCTCTATGATACAGCAGCCAAAGAAGGGGAGATAACTGAGCTCTAGGACCTCCTCAATCTTGGGTGCTCAACCTACTCCCTCCATTTTTTCTCATGCTGTGTCTTACTATGAAGAAGAAACCAACAAGACCCACAGACAGAAAAAGGATCATGTCCCTCCAGTGTGGGGAAATGCATTTCTCTGCAGTGGTCTCCATTGCCAGGCCTTCCTCCCCCTGATACTCTCTCAAAAAAAGCTCCACCAGTTAGGCTGTTCTGCACAAACATCCTACAGGCCTGTGCTTTGTTGTTGGGTCTCCTGTGGAAATCATGTATATGAAAATTACATTTGCAACCTAGCGTTGTCACAGAGATGCTAGTGAAAGTTCTAGCAGTTGTCAGATTAAACAGAGAAGGCTGGTAATGTAAGTTGTCTATGAAATGAGTTAAAAAGGATTGTAGAAATAGAGATTTGTGGAAACACATAGGTTTTATATAGAGTTGCATTCAAATACACATTCTAAAAGATAAAATTAAGTATTTGGCAAAAGGTACAAACTAATTTAATCCCTTCTCTTTTCCCAGGTGCTAAAGTACGAGCAGAAATCTATGAAGCATTTGAAAACATTTATCCTATTTTAAAGGGATTCAGAAAGACAACGTAACAGTTTCAACACATTTCAGAGAAATCAGGGGTATATTTTAAAAGGTATTGTGTATGGCACAGCAGTAACAAGAAACAGACTTCAAGTGCAACTGCAACACTAGGACTTGGACTATTTCCCAGTTAGTGCCTACTTCCCTGATGCTCAAGGGGAACTGTTTTCTTGAATATGTCTACTGAGTTACTGTGAGTTGCTTTACTGGGCTGTTCCTGGAGCAGCCCCTCCAACTTTTATTTATATTCTAGCTTTTAAATAGTTTTAATGCCAGTTCTATTAATAGAAAATCTGTAAGTTGGTTTAAAGACAAATGCAACTGTGTCACTCAGTGTATAAACCACTTTAATTGCCATGTATATATGTTTTAAGTTCCTTCCATAAGACCATGGTTTTTATAATTTTCAGAACTTAAGCTTTTAAATTTTTTCAATTTAAATTTCTTTGGTGCCAGACACATTCCCTCTTTCCAGTATTAAATAAGATAGAATAAATTTATTAATTAAAATGGCTCACTGTACATATATATATAATATATACCTTTCTTCTCTTCTTCAACTCCACATGTACAATAAACCCTGTTTATACAAATATGGGAACTGTCTTAATAAATTTTAAAATTACCCAGCTGGTAGGAATGAAATACATTGAATTACTTTTTTTATTTGATAGATTTTTTAATAGCAGATGCACTGCTGTAACTGACACGTTGTTTTGAGAGAATCTTAGCAGTGCTCTGCCTTGCATACCAGCAGTCACATCCTTGGCAATGTCTACCTTGAATATTTCCAATATGTTAAAGCAAAAGAGATGACTGGTTAAAGCAGCTTGTGTTTGAGTATGTGTTGCCTTATGTTCAACAGATGGGATTTAGGCAAGTCTTAAATAGCTGCACTTGAGTGAAACAGATCCCTGCTTAGCTTCTAGAATTTCTTTAAATTACTACCTTTGTATTTTACCAGCTGTGACAGCCTCACTATATTAGTGTTCCTGTAAAATGTCAAAGCCCTTTCAACTGGAGTCAGTATGTACATAATCTTCCTTCTGAACGATGCTTGAAGCCTAATAGGCTCAGAGCTAAAAATAAACTTTTTTTCTTCTTCAGTAAATTTCCAGGAATGATAACCTCTCTATGACTTGCATATTATTTCAAACAGCTTTTATCTGAAACTAACCCAAATGTGAACAATGGTTTCATTACTAAGTTGGTGTTTCATTCCAGACAAAATTAAGTTTTGGCTGGCTTTGATACTGCTCCATTTGCAAGTCCTGAGTGACTTTAATCTTCAGTCTTCTCTCTACACCAGTGTCTCTCCAGGTGTTTTAATTACTGGTTTCATGGATCTTACCAGAAAGATGCTGTTTATTAATGTAGCTGTGCATGATATACTCAAAACACTGTGTTGCCTTCAGTGCTGTGCCACTCTGTGCTGTGAGCTCATGCATGTTCCTGAGAGCTCTTGGCTATAACTGTATGGCTGTCCATGCTTTTGCAGGACCTAACTATTACCAACTTATGTGCAAAAATCTTCAACTCTTCAGAAATCTTGAAGTCTTAAGAAACCACAGGACAGTTTTCAACAAAATCAGTTGAGCTGTACTACAGTGACTTAAGACAGTTTGCTCCTTCACAACACAGACCAGAGCTTCAAACTACCCTGCTAGAAATTGTTCTGTGATAACAAAACCACTTCGAGGTACAGCATTCTCTGCCTGCTTATTTGAGTACTTTCAACATCTAAATGATTTCAAAAACCCCAGAGTCACAGATAAGCAGCCATGAATGGTTGGAGCCAGGTAAGGGAATATGTAACTGAAGTCAATTCCATAGGGAAATGCACAAAAGTCTTTTTTGCAAATACCACGGTAGCCATAGGAGTAGTTAAGCAGCTGTAAAGCTCAGCTTTATGGTTTCACTATTGTTTTGCTTCAGCTATATGGCAGTCATACAGGTGAAGAGTCCCTACAGAGGACACTTATTTTTAAACCTCACCAACCATGGCAGACTTAAAGCACAATTCAGCTGAAAATCTGCTGCTACAGGCACTGTGTTCTGGTAGGGCTGACTTTGTTTAAACTGCCTCTGCACCAGGTAATGGAGTTAAATTACTTCTGTATGGGGCTAATAGTTTTAAAGTCAGATAAAACACTTAATTTTTGTGCATTTTCTCTCAGATAACCACTCAATCAGAGCACATGACAAACTCTCAAGTTAGGTTTAGTGTACCTGTTGAGAAAGGGAAGCAGATTTAAATTCCACAGCAAAAGGCTATGCAGCTTTGTCTTAGCTGTCTCCTGTACAGCTCTTCAACATAAGCACTCAAATGGGTTTACAGTAGTCTGCTTTTCTTTGAACGAATGTTAATTTTTGAGTAGCCCAATGAAAATTCTGACAGACTACAATCTTTTTGAAGTTTTTGGAGTTCCGTTACCAACAAAAGTTGACTTCACCAATCCAAAGGTTTTTAATCTTTATTAAATAAACTTCCAGAAATGAGATTTGAAATTAAGCTTTCTGAACAAATTCATCTGGCTTCATCACCAGGTTGAAGTAAAAGCTCCTCTGGAGCACAAGGGAGGCTGTCAAGGTCTAGTTACAGCAGTTTTATCACTGTTACAAGATGCACAGTTATCAGTGACTTCAGTTCAAGCTACCTGTTTGCATAGTGCAGAGATGCAATGAAACAAATGAAGTATTCCATTTGGATGACACAACTTCACAAAGTACAGCCCATGGAATAGTCTTGTTTCCATATGAATTCTTCCAGGTATTCACTTCCCCCACCGCAGCTCTCGGCACAAGTATACACCACCAGTGTTCCCCAGTCAATGCTCTCTCCAAGGCTGTCAACCTGAAGGTGATTCAGGAGCTGTGGCATAATCTTCAAGGCAAACCAAGAGGTTTAGAAGCAGATTACAGACTTCTCCCCTCTCCCCACTTCTCCTCCTTAAAAACAGTCCTACGTTTGGTGTAAGAATTTATATTCTCTTACATCAACATCCCAGCTGAAGCTACTATGTATAGCTCAAATAAAACAAATTTGGAATTCTAAGTAAGTTTTATTTGGCCTTGTAAGATTTGCCTGATCTGTGAGCCTCCCACCGTTTGAAATTCCATTAGTAACTATGTTTTGCCTTTGCTTGACATTAAGTGTATTCACCATACATACACCTCTAGCATTCAAAGTTCCACAGCTGAATGCTTCCAGCCAAACTTTATTTATAATGCACATAATAAAGTGAAAAAGCACTTATAAGAGTAAATAAAGGTTCTGTACAATCATTTAGCATAATTAGTTCGTTGCAACTTCAACCTTCTTGCTCAAACTACAAAACAACACCCTATACAGTTAGATTTTGAGCTGGAAACACATTACCTGTGTTATTTTTAAATGATCTTACATACCTGGAATTCAAATATCCTTTTGGCACCACATACACAATTTGGGATATCTTTTTCTTCAGGCCTGTTTTCACCTGACACCCAGAGTGGACCTTCTCCTCCTCTGCAGTATCTAATTATCTGAAATACAGCAGAAATTTAAGTTCTCATGACTATCGTTTCATCTTGGTATAAAATAGGTGTTTAGTGACACAGTCAAAGCTGTAGATGGAGCAGAAAAAGGTCAGTTCTTTGAAGTAATAACCATGGCAAAATATTTGCAAATGTACCATTCTAAATAAGATAGGTTGCTTACATGACTTTTCTTAACTATGTGAATCATGCAAGTATTCATACCACATTTTTTCAGTGATCTGCAGTGATTTGTAATTCCCTAACCAAGGGTCCCAGAAAGCCCAGAAACCCAAGGTTGTGTATGCTACAGTCTTGAGACAGAGAAAAAGCACCTGGATAATTAGCACACAGACCTGCACAGAGTCAGGAATGCAATCCAGATCATTCTGTCTGCAGATCTGCATCTAAATACAAGCAGACTATCCTATTGTTCAAGAAGGTATTTTCAGACATATCCTTTGTTTTTCAATTACTAGCAAATCACACATTATCAGCAAAAGGACACTTGGACAGATCAGTCAGTACACAGATGGTCAGAGAGTGAGGCACATTCCTAAGGCAGAGAAGGGAATAGACTCAAAGTCTCCTACTTTCTGAGTGTGTACCTTAACCCCTCAGCTACCAGGCAAAATATGGAGAGAATTTCTTCTTCACCACTTTGATGGATTTAGGCTTGTGTCTTCTCTAAATGAAACCAGGGACCATGGTTTTGTTTGACATTGTAGCTTTTTAGCCTTCTGCAGTAATAAGAAATAGCATGGGGAGAAAATTTCTGTTTTAAATAGTAGAAATTCTAAAGCCATCTTTCAACCTTAAAAAAAGCCAAGCCACCCCCCAGTGCAGCTGGTGACAGTGACAGAGCTCTTCTCTGCAGTTTTTGTTCTGCTGGAAGGAAAGCCAACATGGCCACAGGCTGGGGAACAATGCAGTGGTTCCCCATGTCCTTTGGTTCGAACCACGTTGCAGGATGGTGGCTCTTCCACACTGTGGGGGATTCAGCACCCTTGTGCCACCTCATCCTGACCAGCAGCTGTTTAGGATGGATGAGCAGGTCCTAAACTCTTACTTCAGCATGAATGAAGTTCAGCATGTAAGGAAGATGAGTGTGGGTTAGGTGTGTGGAGGATGAAGAGGCATCCCCATTTTGAACTAGGTACAAAAGGCATTGAAATGCTGCAGGTGCAGCAGGATGCTATGTTCAAAGGCCATCCCATTTCTGACCTGCTCTGGTTCAGCAGCTGTTTGGTTTTTAAACATTCGGAAGATCTTTTCTTCTTCAGTCTCATGTTTTGCCATTGCTTCCAATGTCTTTTCATCTAAGGACTGAAATGCTTCATCTAAGCAAGAGAAAAATAACAGTAAAACTTACAGGCTGATACAAGATACTAAAAATTAAAAACAGTATTAGCATGTGTAAATTTATTTTGCTTCATAAGTCATTCCTGGCATAAATCTAAGATCTTTTTTCTTTTCCTGGCATGTTAAGATTTGGTCACACCCAGGTCCATATACTAGTTTTAGCTGCATTTTAAACACAGATGTCAGTACTGGAATACTGGAAAGGGAAGGAGTCAATCTACCAAAGTTCATGGCTCCCAGCAGGATCACTGAGATTACAGAACTTTCAGGATACGACATTTGAAAAAGGCCCGTGTGCTGCGCATGTGCCAGACTTCAGTTTTTAGCACTGAAGAGTGTATCTGTTACACTCCAACAACCACAACAACCACATCAACTGGGGGCATTAAACACTTGTGAGATAGCTTTGGACCACAGCAAGGGAGCACCAGGAAATCCAGCATCATTCCCTGGCACCACCACAAACTCTACACCCTGGGTGTGCTCAAAGACAGTGTGGTTGCAGCAAATCCATCATGAATTTAGGGGGAGCAGGGAGGAAGGAGCCTGCACTTCAACTGCTTCAAAGTCAGTTAAAATATCCTCAAACCAGTTTTCTGCTAGCACAGAGAAGGAAATTTTCTTTTCAATCAAGACAAATTGAACTAAGTCAAGCCAAGACAATCTAACAATCTCCCGATTTCAACAGTATCCAGCAGCAGATGCTCAATCCTATCCTTCTCACTTGATTTGTTCCTTACCTATTGGAAGCAGAAAGGGACACAGTGTAACTCCAAGCTATCTGCAGCAACAGCTGCTTCAACAGCTGGGGGGGGGGGGGGGGGGGGGGCGGCAGGTGTCAGGTCTCTCCCATAAAAGCAACTTATGGGATGTCTGCAACAAACTAGCATTGCAAATGACTGCACATGTAGCTTTTTTTTCACCGGTAGTTTACAAGGAACGCTTAAAAATCACAGTATTTGATATTTTAAAGATGTGATAACAGGCATAACTGGGAAAAATTACAAGGCAGCACTTTATTTCTGACCTGCAGTGCCTGCAGCTCCAAGTTCCTCTTGTTCTTTTGTGTCCTTTGATGTATCTTCAGCTTCTTGTTCATCATCAGTGCTGTCAGCAGGAAATTCTGGTTCCTCAGGTTCTATCAAAATTTCATATTCTGGAAAAAGGAATTCATTATGCTCTGGAATTGCATCTGCCGAGTCATCTAGAAAACAGAAGAGATACCACTTCACAACGTCATCTTGTATTTCACG